TGTATTTTCAGACTGCCGCATCTTTCTCCCGAGGAGCGCTGGTGGGTCGAGTGCGTTACCCTCTGTGCCACCAGGGCTCCCCATTTACACACGTGCACATACAGATGTGTACACATCTGTGTGCATGAGTCCATCGTGTGTTTCCCCCTGGAGGTTGTTCCGTATCAGCACTCCCAGACGCACCTCCCTTCAGTTGCTGCACAATGGGCCATGTTTGGTGGCATCCCAGTGAAAGCACCCCAGACGAGGAACATTTAAGCCCAGTTCTTTTCACTACTGATGACACTGTACTGACCATCCGTTGCCTGCGTCTCTGCCCGTGTGGGAGTATTGCCAACGGACAGGCTCCTGATAGTGCAGCGGCCACAGCAAGAAGCTGAAGTTCTCATTCGGACAGTGCCTGACTTCACTCACTTCCAAAATCACAGGAGAATGACCTCATTCATTTTCCTGCACTTTTATTTTTTTAAAGTCTTATTTTATTTTTTATTTACTGTGATTTGGGTGAAAGTTTACAGAGCAAGTCGGTTTTCCATTCAACAATTCTTAAATATTTTGCTTCGTGACATTGACTGCAATCCCCATAAAGTCACAGCGCTCTAACCACTTCCTCCCTGTGGTTACCTCTTCCCTTCCTGCTTCTTTCCTACCAATTTCTGTGTTCTGAGCTGTATCCCTGAGCAAATGCTGCCCTTTTGCTCTTACATGGTTGCTTGTTCTAAGGAGGGCATACCTCCCTGGTGTTACTGTTTCCAGACCTGTTTATTGTTTAGCTGAAAATTGAGCTCAGTTCCAGGGTTGAAGGGTGACTAAGGTCTTTCAGTCCATGCATTCTTATCAACACTGGTCACTTTTCTTTCTTTCTTTTTTAAACTTTTAATTTTGATTTGGGAGAAAGTTTACATAATAAATTGGTTTTCCATTCAACAGTTCATACTCATTTTATTTCATGACATTGATCACAATTCCCACAAGGTGACTGCACTCTCCTCCCTGCGGCTACCTTCCCTTTGTCCTTCTTTCCCGTCCATTCCTGGGTTCTGAGCCAATGCTGCCCTTTTGATCTCTTGTGTTTGATTGTTCTAAGGAATGTGTCCCTCCTGGCTGTTACTGTTCACCTCCTGTGTCTTTCTATTATTTGACTGAAAGCTGAGCCACAGGAGTGACTTCAGTTCTAGGCTTGAAGGTGACTAAAGGCTACAGTCTCAGGGGTTGCACCAGTCTTATCAGGCCAGTAAGCCTGGTCTCTTATTATTTTGAGTTTTGTTCCTCATTTTTCTCCCACTCTAGCCAGGACCTCCTGCTGTGATCCCTTTCAGAGCAGTCAGCAGTGGTAGCTGGGCACCATCTAGTTCCTCTGGTCTCAGGTCATGGAGGCTGAGGTTCACATGGTCCACTAGTCCCTTTGGACTAACTGTCTCCATGCGTCTTTGATTTTCCTCACTCTTCTTTGCTTGGCATGAGGTGAGACCAATAGTTGCACGTTGGATGGCTGCTTGCAAGCTTTTAAGACCCCAGTTGCTACTCACCAAAGTAGGATGCAGAACAATGTCTATGCCAGCACTATGAACTATGTTATGCCCACTGACCTTGATGCCAATTGACCTTGATGCCCCCTGCGACTATGATCCTGAGCTCCAGGCCTAGCAATCTACTCCCTCAAGGTGTCTGGTTGTGGCTAAGAGGTTTTCATACCTTTGCCCCCTATTAGGTCTACTGTGTATGTGGACATTTTTATAGCTCATACATACACTTATGCAGAAATATCTGCCCGACCTATACATGGTCATGGGGACCCTTACCTGATCATCTTGCCTGTCTACCTGTGTATCCACTCACATATTATTATTCTTACTGATAATGCAGCTTCGTGTGTGTAACAGTGTTTACCTTTGTTGTTGGCACCCCTTGTACCACTTGAGGCTTCCTTTTCATTTGTGGTATTGTGCTGTTCATCCACTATTTGTATATTTCCTTTTCCTTCACCAAGTATGTGTCTCTTACCCACTTAGTAACTTTCCCTTCTCTTCCCTCCCATCCCTGGTAATCATCAAAGAATGTTTCTTTCCACGACACTGGTGATTTTTCAAAGTTATGCCAAAACACAGGCAAACACTGGTTTTTGGTTTGCATTTCCCAAGTGGCTGGTGAGAGTGAGGGCTGCACTCCATCTCACTGGCCATTTCCCTCCAGTGCTCCGCGGGGGCACGTTTGAACCAGGAAACGTGAAGGGCGGTAATGGTAAACTACTCCCAAAGGGGACATGAAATGTATCACTAGTCAGCATGTCAATCAGACTAGACATGTGTACAGAAGAAATTGGAACCCCAGGGGCTGAGAAACCAAAGCCTAGGTCCTGGCAGGGTGGGGCTCTGAGTGACAATGAACTGTGGGTCAGAGAATGTGGGGCTAGCCATTCCAGCTCTGCTGTGGGACTTACACCCGTCCCTTCCTCCGAGCCCCAGTTTCTTCATCTGTAAAATGCAAGACAGAGGCTGATGTCTGAAACTAGCTCCCTGCGTCCCGGGGCCCTGTCACCTCTTACCTGTGCTCTCAGTGAAGTTCCCCAGGTTGAGGATGTCATTGAGCTCTTGGTAGTGGTTCTGTTTGATGTATGTGGTCTTCTCCGGTGTGTCCTGCAGCTGCATAGTGACGTCTTCCAAGTCTTTATCAAGCTGCAAGACAAAGATGCCAACTGAGTCAGTGCCCTCGACCCAGCTCCAGTCCTGGCGGCAGGCTTCTAGAGCCAAGAAGTGGCTCACAGGGCTGTGGTCTGTGCCTGGGGACCTCTCTCCTCAGCACTGTTACATGAGAGGAAAACAAACATGTATTTTCTTTGGACCACTTTATTTTGGGCTCTTTGTTAGAGCCACTTAGTCAGTATCTTGGCCAACAAGGATTTCTTTGTTCCTTTCTAGTCCCATTTGTCGAATCAGAATCCCTATCACACACTGGCCGGCCGACCTAGGGTCCAGTCACATCCCCTGAACCCAAAGGGAGGGGTGGGAAGGGGAAGGTGATATGGTTTCCTCTCCCTGGTATAGAAAGTCCAGAACTTGAGTGTTAGCTCAGGCACAAAGGAATCTGGTCAGGGCCTCTCTGGAATCCTCAAGGACCGGTTAGGGACCCTGAGGGCACAGGGCTCCTGTGGAAAATCTCCCTCCTGAGAAGTTTCCATCCACTTCTTTCCTGCTTTACATTTTAGGATGTGGGTGGTTACTGGGTTATGTTGGGAGAGTGACAGGGGAGAAAAAAGAGATAGAGGGGGAATGAGAGAGACGGGTAGAGATACTGAGACAAAAAGAGAGATTGAGAAACAGATTGAGAAAGAGAGATAGAGGTTGAGAGATGAGAGAGAGGCTGGAAA